TCAGAGGTGGGTTCCTACCAGTTCGCACCTATTCGGTAGAACCGGTTCGTCAAATCTACCGAACCGGTTAGAAGAGGTTCCACCAGTGGACCCGGAAAGCAGGCCACACCTACAGAAGAGGTTCCAAAAATTTTTGAAACCCACCACTGGTATGGTCACATGGTGACCCATTTTGCAATTGTCACAATTTAAGATCATTTTTTTATAGTTTTAACATTTTAATTGGTATAGTTTTAATATTTGAATTATTTTTCTATGTGCTTGTTTTTATAATTGTAAGCCACCCAGAGTCGCCTTATAGGGGAGATGGGTAGGATAAAAATTTAATAAATAAATAGCAATAGCACTTAGACTTGTATACCGCTTCATGGTGCTTTTCATAGTGCTTTACAGCCCTTTCTAAGCAGTTTACAGAGTCAGCATATTGCCCACAACAATCTGGGTCCTCATTTTACCATCCCGGAAGGATGGAAGGCTGAGTCAACCTGGAGATGGTAAGCATCAAACTGCTGGCAGTGGGCAGAGGTAGCCTGCAATGCTGCATTCTAACCACTGCACCACCATGGCTCATGATGGGCAGGCTCCACTCTGGTCATAAGTTGAGGACCACCTGTATGGTATTTTAATTCACCTTTAAAACTCCTAAGGAGTGGAAGTCCACACATATTAGAATATAGAATAACAGGGTTGGCAGAGGCTTTGGAGGTAAGCCCCCTGCTCTAGCAGGAACCCTATATCATTCAGGACAAATAGCTGCCCAATCCAATTTCTCCTTAAAAACCTCCCGTGAAGGAGCACCCACAACTTCTGGAGGCAAGCTGATCCACTCATTGTTCAGTCACAATTTTGAACAGTTACTAAGCCCTGGTCATAAGTTGAAGGCTACCTGTATCACAAAGGAAATTATATGGGCACAGTCCACAGTCATGAGGGAATTCCTTTCCACAGTCCACAGTCATGAGGGAATATTTGGAACCAAATAGTATCTACCTAGTAAGGTCAGATAACATACTGAAAAGGACAAAGATAAAAAGCATTCAACAGAAGCCACTTCAGTTCATGCAGGCAGTCTCACCTACCTCCTTTGGTTTCACCGCAAGGCGCCCAGTCATATCCAAAGATGGGCGTCTTTCCTTCTTTTTATTGGCTTCAGGAACACTTGCAGCCCCCAGGCCATGGGAGAGACTTTTGCCTGATGCAGAGGCTCTTCTTAATTCTTCCAAACTGAAACCCATCTTTGATAAGCATGTCTTTTTCAGTTTCTCCAGGGGTTCTGTTTTTATGGACAGCACTGCCAAATGGTCTCCAACTATGTCTGGGTCAACTTTCAGGGGCCTTTTACCAAGATAAGGGACAATTTTCACTGGCATGTCATCTGTCTGCGAGGGGTTAGCTGGTGCGGATTCATCTCGACATTCTGACAGGCCAGAGAGCTCTAATAGAGACTCATCTTCCTCCAGTTCCATGTGGGAGTTAACTTTAGCAAGGACTTTGCTTACAATGCGGTCCAATTCCAGGGCACTGTAGGTTTCGTTTTCTGAATTATCGCGCACAGGTTTTTCTGAGTTGTTGCTGGAGATCTCATTGATAATGATACTGGCTACTTGCTCTGGGAATATCGCCTGGTCGGTTGTCATGTCCTCATACAGTTCTTTCTGAGACCCTGATTTCTCCAGGACATTGCTGATGACAGTATGGACAACTTGGTTAACTGCCTCTTCATGCTGTGGATTCAGTACTGCCTGATGATCTGAAGCTACAAGATTGATCTTGCTCTTTGATATCTCTTTTTCCACCGATGTTTTTAGCTGGGCAGTAATTTCCTTTATATCTGTTTTGGATAACCTTTTCTTTCTATGAATTCCCAAGTCATATTGTGTCTTTAGCATTCTTATCAAGAAGCGGCTTACGATCTCTTCCAGGAAAACAACAGAGACAAAAAGAGTGGGAGTATCTGGGATGGGATTTAGTTTTTTCCCTGCTTCCATATCGGAAATAATTTTTTTGAGAATTTTTTCAGATTCCAGCTTTATCAGACTGGGGCTGGGTATCTCTTTCTCGGAGTCGACGACCGGCTGGAAGTCATGTTTAGAAATCTCACTCACCATGAAGCAGGCAACTCGGTTAGCAAAGTCTTCCTTGCTGTTAGTTAAGTCTTCATACAGAGACGTTTCAGAGCTGGAGTGTTTTAGGATATCCGAGTAAACGGAGTCAACCACTTCTCCAACTGTTCGGCTATCTTCTGAGGCTAAGTTTCTTGAGTCATCATGCTGCCACACTTTAAGTTCGCCATTTGAGAGGAGATTCTGCAAGGAATTAATGATCTTTCTTGCAACTTCCTTCATAGATGCAACATTGCTTCTATCCTCCTCATCCAGAGGAAGAGAACTGAATATTTTTGTGAGAAGTTTAACAGCTATCTCCTCTAAGATTAGAGAGGATAAACCTTTCAGGTGGGATCGCAACTGTGTCTGGGCCTCTGATGGCTCTGAATCAGCTCCATATTGATCCTCAAGAGCTTTCTCAGCTTCAATGGCTTCTTGCTGTCGGTTTAACTCTTCTGAAAAGTACATCTGCATTTGATCCCCAGAAATCTCTTTGATCACAATGTCCACAATCCTCTCCAGAAGAATTGTACAGCCAGTTCTGATACACTTTTGAACATCGGAAGTGCTTCCAAATTCTGGCAAAAGATTGTTATAGATTGAGTTGGCTACAGTTTGACTGACCACACGGTTGGGCGGCACACGGTCAAGATACTTAACCTCTGCATTTTTGTTTTTTGAGATTTCAGCCATCACTTTGCTCAGGAGTTTCATGTGAATAAAATCAAACTCTGCACAACGCTCTTCTGTATCAATAGACGGAGAGTGGGTTGTAGGAAGAGGGAGGATTTTAGATAAGAGGAAAGCAAGGACATCATAAATAAATCTCTGAGAGACGAGAAATGGACATGGTGTGTCCATCTGGGATGGAGTACTGATTTTCTTCACCTCTGTGAACACATTTTTAGCCATTTCTCCAAATTCAAAAGGTTTAGAGGCTGGATCCTGGAACATCTTTGATTGTACTTCCTGAATCTGGTAGCCTAAAATTTCTTTCTTTACTGCACCAGCCAATTTTTCTGCGAGTGTCTGACCATTTTCCTTGTTCATGCAGATTGGGACTCCAGATCTCTGATCTTGCAAAATGCTACATAAAGCAGCATGGATAATTTTAGCAATCTCTGCTTTTTCCACATCCGGGAAAGTTTGCCCACCTTCAGGTATTTGTATCACTTTTACTGGGGATTTTGCAAACTCCTTTAAGATGGATTCAATTAAATATTTAAGTGAAGGTTCAGCCTCAGCCCCTTGTTTCCCTACCATACAAACACTGGCTGTAGATGTGAGCAATTTGCTAATTAATCCACTAAAGATGTCCTTCAAGAAGGAGGCTGAGTAAGTATCTCCTGCATTCTCAAACTGCATTAACTGGGGTCTTGTTTGATAACCTTGTTTTGTTTTACTGAGAAATCCTGTTTCAGCTGTGCTTTCCTGTTTTCTGTTCAGAGAGCCAGACTTCGCATAGACTGTTTTGCAAATATTTTGTACTATGTCTTCAATCGTTTTGCTGGCATCAGAACATGGTTCTTCCTTCAAATGGCTCATAGCATGACTTCTCTTCCGTTCTTCAATCACTGTTGGATCAGGAGAAGCCGATCTACTATCAGGGAGCCAAGAAGGAAATACTCGATGTAATATCTTGACAAATATATCTCCAAATACCGAACCAGCGGATGGCGGTTCTGGGAGGAGAGTTTCAACTCTGTCAACAATGGTTTCCGCTTCCACAAATGAAAACAAATATGGAGAAGTGTCGCCAGTAAACAAAGGCAACAACTGGAAACGGGAAATATCTCTTATTATGACGGGAGCCAGTTTTTCTGCTAACAGGCAGCTGTTTGCTTGAAAAGCTTTAAAAATCTCAAACTCTGACCCAAATTGTTGCAGTAATTTTTCATAAATAGAATTACTTATTTCAATCACTTTTTCAGCACCTACTGGTGGGAGGCAGATATTCTCCCCTGAGGTTTGCATGACTTTAACTTCTGACATTTTAAATTCAATGACCAAACCGTTTACAAGTTCAATAACTAGATTTCTCATCTCATTCTCTGATAAATTAGTGTCCTTGGAATATGCCAAAATATTAGGGGAAGATAAGAATTTGCAAAAGAAAGCAACAACCACGTCCTCTAAAAACTGGGCAGAATAGATGCGCTTGGAAACATGCTGCCTTCCCTTTTGCCACTTAGAACACTCAGAAGAATCATTGCTACTTAAAAATGGGTGGAAGTGGAAGTTTAAAATTTCTCTTATGAGTAATTTGGCAATTTCAGGCACAGTGCCGTTGCCCTGAGCCATGAGAGTATTTTGAAGTTCGCCTTGAGATTGATACTTTTGCAAAATGTCATTATACACTGAATTAGCAATGTCTTCTTCAGTCTCTCGATCCATGTCTGGGATTCGCTCCGAGACATTTTCTAGCTTGACTTCATGGGCTAAAATCTCTGTAACAACACAGCTTTTCAAGTTTGCAGCCATCTCGGTGAAATCTGTTTCAGAAAAGTCATCGGATTTTCCAGCATAGTCAGCAATGTTCTCTGGATTGGGGAATAATTTCTCCAAGAGCTGGTTAAGCATCTTTTCTAAGACCATGCAAGGAAATACAGTTATTCCAGAGTCTGGAATGATCCTATCGTCGTGGTTTACATAAGGTGGGGCGTATTCTGATGTTAAAGACTGAAGATGATGCTTAAACATTTCATTAACAATGAAACAAGCTATCTGCGTGACATACAGATTATTTAAGCTTTCTCTGTCTTCTGAGACAGGCTGCTGGAGCAGAACCTCATGTAGGACATCGCAATACACGGATTCCACCATGTTCTCAATTGCTTTTTCTGAAATAACAGTTTCTTTTTCACTGCCGTAAGTGCTGATCCAGATGGCCTGTTTCAAAATCATTGCCCTGATGTCCATCTTAAACTGGGCAAGTCTGTCTTGCAATTCAGATCCACGTAGACCTTCTCCTTTATCGGACACTGCACTAGTACTAAAAGCTAATGGGAAAATGTAGGCAAATAACCTATCGATGATAGCGTCCAACACTGGATAAGAGAGCACAGTGATATAAGGCGAAGCTGAAGGCTCCTCCTGAGGGCCACCTTGTTCTTCCATCAGGTTTTCCTGGATGAGGCACTTTCCTTCTAAGACATTTGATGGGCATGCTGAATGAAGCAGGTAATCTACAGCTTCTTCCATTTCTAGAGTAGTTGCTTGACAAGGCAAAGCATTCTCTACATTTTCTATGTCTTCTTTAGACAGAGAACTGCATATGGAACCCTTGTAAGATGGATTTTGGTCTGCTACGTTTGCCTCTGGTGGAGCGGATCCAAGAGTCTCGTCAGGCCCCTCTTGAAAGTTGATGTGAGCTTTTGCGAGCTCTTTCGTAACTGTTTTTGCCAACCTCATTGCTACCTCTCCCACATCTTCCCCAGAGGCACTAAGAGGGATGTCTGAAAATCTATCAGAGATTTTTGAAAGCAATTCAGAAATAACATTTCCCAGCACAGAAGTGGGTGAACTTTTACTTTTTCTCTCGATTGCTTCCCTGAGGTTCAAGGGCTTGATAGCAGTTTTGTAAACGTCTAACCCTCCCATAGAGTCTCCTCCAGCAGCTCGATCCCAATCAGAAGCCTCCTCCTCCTCACTGCATACAAAAGCTTCAACGTGCTGTTGGAGGATGTCTCCAACGAGAAAGCCAGCTAGTTGATCGATAAGGACATTGCTCTTGTTTTTCACATCTCTCTGGACAGCTTCAAGGGAGCCCGATTTCTGTATGATCTTGCTGCACAAAGAATCGGTCAGGTTCTGAACATCCTCCTCAGAATATTGATACTGTTCAGGGTGTGTGTCCTTTATAACTCTGATTTCATGTTTTAGAAGTTTCAGCCGAACGTCATTGAGCAATTGAGTTGAGAGCTTGCTTAAGTCAGCTTCGGACATGGCCGCTTTTTTCCAAGTGGATGAAGCATCTCCAGGTGGTTTGGAAGGGAAAATCCTTGAGAGTAGACCAGTGATGAGATCTTTTAGGAACCCCGATGATAATAAGGTGCTAAATGGTGGCCAGCTCTCATCCTCGTGGAATTCCTTGTCTCTAACAGCATCACTAACCTGTAGTGCAGGTAAACCCGAAATTCTAGACAAATCTCCAGAAAACAGAGGGTGTAAAAGATAATCAGAGATGCCTTTTTCAACCAATCTTTTAACGTTGTCATAAATTATATTCTTTCTTATGCGGCTGACATCACCGCCTAAAACCATCTGTTTTTCTCTCGCCATATTGTGGTATACAGAATCTACCACATCATCCATGACGGCGGATAATGGGGCTCCAAGGCATTGTTCTTCTCCTGTTTTCACCCCGCTAACCGAAGCTCTGCCAAATTGCAAGTTGATCGAACTGGCTATCCTTTTAACCACATTACCAAGCTCAATTTCAGGCTGCCCTTTAGACATTTTCTTTTCGTCTAGAGAAGCAGAAAATATTTTAGATAAAACTCTGGAAACGATTTCTTCTAAAAACTTAGCTGGGAAAACCTCAGTAGAAGACACTGAAGATTCACTGATGCTATCCAAAACCGTCCTGACGATATTCTCAGACAAGGCTTCAGGCTCAGGATTTTCCAAAAAGTCTTCATCTTTGGAAAGAAAAGTCTGAAGGTGATGGTTAGTGATTTCCCGAATTATGAAACTGGTCATGCAATCGATAAAAGCAGTATTCCTGCATTCCACATCCTTTTGTATGGAGAGTTGTGAGCCAGACTTTTTTAACATATTACTGTAGACTGAATCAACCATGTTCTCAATCTCTTTCTCTGAATGTAATCGGCATCGATCATCCTTTTTTGCTACCCAGATTTTGTGTTTTGAAATGGACTTCATTACGTGTTCGATTATATAGGAACAGAGCTCATTAAAGTCAACGTCTGACATATCTCTTTTGTCTTGGTGGCAGGGAGTGTCCTCTGAGGGTGGGAACAGCTGAGTTAAGAGTCGACTTACTACTCTTTCTAAATATTTCTCAGACAATATAGTAACGTATGTTGGAGGAGGTGGCCTACTCCTTTTTACTTTAGGAAAGCAGACACAGAGCTCAATGTTTTTAATGATGGGCCCAGGTTTAAGATTTCTGAAAGCACTCTGAGGTAGTCTCCTAAACACTGCTGGTGGCAACTGGTAATCCAAAATTTCTGTCAGGATAATTTCAGCTGCCCTCTCAGCCAGATTCTCTATGTCCTTTTCCATGTCTCCCTCAGCAGCTAACTGGAATCCAAACTCCCTTAAAATGGAGTCAGTTATTCTGTTGACAGTTCGACTGTCCACAGGGGAGAAGTATGCTTTCTCCTCGGCTCTCTGCAAGACTCCAACACTGGCTTTCTTAAATTCTTCCAGCAGTGCATGCACAAACAATGTGTTCATCTCATGAAGGTCGATACAAGAATTTCGATCGTACTTGTTCCGCAGTGAAGAAAAGATCTTGATCAAGAGCTGAGAAACAACGTCCCCCAGAAACAGTGAGGAATAAATCGCAGAAAAAACTGACTGGAGTTGATGATGATCTCCATGTTCTGTCACTGTCATCACTTCTTTTCTGTAGTACTTCTTTTTGCAGCTTGCAAACCAAGGTTTTTTCGCAGGTAATGTGCAGATGGGTACAACTGGCCTTCGCTGGACTGCTGCATCCAGGACGGACCGGTTTCTGTCTCTTTTTCTCATATGACGCCTTCCTGGACCAGTTGCCCTAGATTCTGATCTTCTACTTCGTGATGAGGAACACAATTCATTTTTACCGTAGCGGGCATGCTTTTTATTCACTGCTTGACCGTGTCCTTTCCTAGGGCATGGCTTTGTGAATTCAACCATCTTTTTTGGAGAAGTTCTCATTTGTCTGGGATGCTCAATGTTGAAGGAAAGCTCTGTCATTACAGGTTTTACCAGTGTGTGAGCTAAAACATCCAGGGCTGATTCACAGGAAGACACTCCTGACTGAGCGTCCACCCATGGCTCCTCTAGGTATCTAACGTCATAGGTGAAAAGGGAGGTGCAGGACTCAGAGTCCTGGACTTTAAACTCTTTATATGAATAGGGCAAGACTTCATCGTCACACTTCCTCAGTTCACGAAGCTGTTCATTCTCTGGAAACTCATCAAAAGCAAAACTGCTCGAAAAATTATCGGTCAAGAGGCACTTGTCCAAAAGTGCCCGGATCAGCTTTTCACTCACAACATCCAAGAGGACAACAGACTTGGGAGACAGACCCAAGTTGCTGTTAAATAGGTCATTACTAAGTTTGCAAGCATGTGGACACATCGAGGAATAAAGTAACTGTTTTTTAGTTGATCTATTCATATTTTGATAAGGCATCATATTTTGAGAGAAGGCATCTGGGTAGGACCCGCCAAAATCATTCTGGGACTGGTCGGGCCATAACGAATCTAAAATGATGTGCAGAACTTTGTTGACAATATTTTTTGACTCACTGGTTTTCAGGCTACGGATGAAAGTGTCCAAATTAGAAGCAACATTGTTTAGCCTCCTGTTTTTAAGGGCTAGTTGATCCATTGTGGAGAGACAGGACATCCTTCTGACATCACTGGCGCCTCTACAATCACCCCTAGAAGCTCTACTTAACCGTGGTGAAGAAATCAAATGCTGTTGAGAGAAGCTATCGCCAACCCTGTCTTGGTGTGTACATCTGCTTCTCATTTCAATTTCCAATAACAATACATTGTTAATTTCTTTCACAAGAGGTTGATAAACATTATCAAAGTCAGCCAAACACAGAGGTGGGACAAAAATTCTTCTTGATCTCCTTGTCTGAAAACCTTTTCTGTTGAAACTCTCTTGCAAAATGTTTCGTTCACACATGCTATTGATGATAACCTCAGAAATGTGGAATGCTAACTCTTCAATGTTAATTGGAGGGCTTTTAGAGCATCTCAGGCCATGTACAGGACAGCAAGCATCCACAGAGCAAAACATTGAAAGGGACCTTTCACAAAATTCATTTCTTTCTGGCATGTTGTGGCGTGCACTGGGACTTGAAATGCTGTACAGCACATTGGAAAGAACAGCTTGAGTCAGAGGTTCCCAAAACACATCATGGCATGATGACTGCTTTCTACCAGAAGGCAGATATGTATTCCTCCATATTTGATCCTGAAGCCACTTTGATTCAGACTGGATTAGTTCTTGTTTCCATGCTGGCAAAGAGCTCCTACAGGACATTTCATCCAAAGGATCTGCAGAAGTAAACATGAACACATTACTAGTTCACATCTGGGGCACAATAGTTGAAGATGTAATCTGAGACACGAAATATTAGGTTGCACGATTTTCCTGCAACTGGCATATTTTGAGCTAAATTAATGGGTTTATCGAAATCAATTTATGGCAAATGCTACTTGTCACAGAAACATAGGTTCATATACTGGATACACACCAAGGAATTTATTATACAACACTGGAAAGATAGATCAACATCTAACTTACAACAGTGAATTGTTGATACGTGTGAACTGGTTCTTTTTTCATAGGGAACAAGGAAGAGGATTTTCAATTTAGTTAAAAAAAATTAGAGGCAGAAATGTTTCTGATCTAAATAAATGTGAGCTATACAGCTTATCAGACATTATCTGCTACAAAGCGCTCAGACTAACCTCTAGATTGGAAGGTAATCAGTTCTTTGATGACACTCAAAACAATGTGGTTGGCTAGCAGAAGAGTCTCACAGGGATCTGGAACAGGAGAACAAGCCATAAGTTCTAGTTCTTTATATTTCTCTGGACTCTTGCATTTGAAGATATGCTGCTTACTCTCCCATTTGGAGAGAAGGCTGCCACTGTCCAGCAGGAGGCAGCTTTCCTCTGTCAGGGTCTTGTCACTAGAATCACTCAACCTGATTTCCCAGCGATTGAGTAAGCTTTGATTCTTCTGCTTTGGTTGTACACATTTGGAGGAGCACGAAGATCTCAGGTGAGATTTTTCCTTCAACGGAGAAAGATGTCTGGATTTCTCACTGTAGCTGTTTTGCACCGTAGGCTCATCTTCCACTCCAAACTCACATAGGAGAGCGTTGACAATGGATTCAGCTGTATGGCCGAGCTTCAGGGGACAGTAGGCAGAATAGCAGGTGCTTTCTGGACCTGTGAAAGGATATTTCCCTGCAAAGGATTCATGGTGAGGAAGGGGTTTGGCTTTCTTCTGATGTCCCATTCCAGCTTGCTTAGGACTACCTTCACAGTCTGCCGTTTTCTTAAATAGCTTTTCCAAAATGCTTCCCTCGGGGATAGAGCTTTGTCGGGGAAGCCAATCTTCCTCAAGACAACCTAGTTTGACTTGACCTTTATCCTGTCTTCGTCTTCTGGGATGCCTTGATCGTCCTTTCTCTCTCTCTGATGCACCGTGAGCATCCCACTCAGAATACTTAAAGACAGAAGGAAATTTAGCTGGGGCTTCTTCTTGTACTTCAGTCTCCTCCTCTGAGTAGATTACCATGCCAGGAACATTGATTGGTGGGAAACTATCTACCCTTCTGAACAGTTTAGAAGTTGTCTTCACCTTCGGTGATTTAAACTGATTCTGGGCAAGAGCCCTTTCCTTTGCAAATGCTCGGCCTGACATTTCTAGCTGCAGGTTCTCCACCATTAATTCAGAGGTGATCTCAGTAAGGCTTTCATTGCAACGATCCAACATGACACTTATAGTCTCACTTACCACCAAGCTTTCAGAAGAGCTGCTAAGTACGTTGGCCTCCTTCTGGGCTAGCTCCCGGTCCAAAGTGTGCTTAATGATTTCAAGAATGCTGCTGACCGCATTGTTGGCATACACACTCAATTCAGAGTGGAGCATTTGCACCTGATGGAAAGCCGTTTCAATGCACTCCCTGGTGACTGCACCACCCAACTTCGTAAAGTCCAGAAAGTTATGGGTCGATCCTAAAGTAGGCAATGTTCCTTTCCCTGCCTCTCCCTGCAGCTTATTTCGCAAGCCTTCTACCGTTGTCTCTGCTATGTTTCCTACATGACCTGAAAGAGAATCTAAGGAGCGTGTCAGTTGTGCAAAAGAAAGGCTTTCTAATGGGAACTTCACTATGTCCAAGAAGTTACATTTAAAGTCCCGTCTAAAATATCGAGTCACAAAAGTCTCCAGTGTGATGACAATACATTCAACTGTTTCCTTGGCTATTTTATCAATTGTGTCCATAGCATTTTTCAGTGAAAAATAAGAAAAATCGGGTTGAGTGAATTGATTTTTCGGATTTTTTGCGCATCCTTTGGGTCCTGCCTGGTCTTTTCTTCCCAAAAAGCTGCATTTATCTTGAGAAGTAGGAATGCTGCATAATAAACATCTATGGACATTTTCAAACACGCTGGCTACAATATCTCTGGCAACTGAGCCAATCTCTGCCTGAGAATCACTGTGAAAAAGCCTACAGCTTTCACCTTTTTTAAAATTACAACAGAATAGCCGCTCGTTGAGCTCACCTTGAATCTTCTTCAAAATGCAAACAGAAGATTCTAGATCTCGACTTCTCATGTAAACCTCACTTACAATATTCTCAGCCACCTGCAGCATTTTTAGGGTTTCGTTTATATTTTCATCTGTCATAGGCTGCTGCTCAAAAATTTCTCTTAATATGCCTTGCTTTGGAAGGATTTGATTAAGGTAGCATGCATAATCTTCATAACAGAGGCATTTAGGTTTTCCATGGATGTCTTTAGTTGTCATTTCAAACTGGAAGAACATCTGGGTAGAAGGAAGTCCATCAATTTGGGAACGGTTCAAAGAAGTCTGTTTGTGCATGTGAGGACACTGCGCGTCATCAGTGTGTAGATCATGCACGACAGAATTTATGAGTTCACTTGCTTTGGAGATCTGCTCCGATGACAAGGTATTGACTTGAAATATAGTTCTGTGATAATTTTCTGTTTTGAATTCATCAATAATAGTTCCCAAAACTTTGCTTACTACGTCTTTGGCATATACTGTCAAGTCAGATTTTGACAAAGTGCCTCTCAGGAATGAGCTGTCCGAATCATCTGACGTTGCTCTTGGCCTACTTGTCGTCTTACTGCCGGCTTGCATGTCACATTGAAAAGATGACTGTCCTTTCCATCTCTGTTGCACAGACAATGGAAGGACCTCTTCCAAATGAGATGCAGCAAAACAGGCAATTTTATTCAAAACGCTTTGAATGAGTTCTTCGCTCAAGGACTGTGGAGAGGGTTGGAGTTGAGATACTGCCAGAGTAATCTTTTGGATGTCGGATGAACCTTTAATGCTGCCTGAAGCATTTGTTTCTAACTTTGATGAGCTAAACAGCGTGTCCACAACTGCTGAATACATCTTATTAAGTATTCCATCCACAATCTCACCAGCTACATTACAAGCATTTGTCTGAGATGCAGACTCCATCATCCTGTTATAGTGTGAGGACTTGGGTTCAGAATTAAAAAATACAGAATCATTATTAAAAGAGGACAGAAGTCCCAGATCTCCCATTATCCGCTGAGTAACTTGGTTGAGAACATCTTCCACACTTGCTAACAATGGAAAACTTCCATGTTGTCCAGGTTGTTGTTTCTGAAAAATCCTTTTCAGAACTCTTTTTTGAATCTCATTTTCAGTCAAGGCTATCTGAACAGTGATGATCTTGAGGAGATCATTCATAATTTCGTTGGCAGAAGCATTTTCTTCATGGGGGAGGAGATTTTGACAAGAAAGCATCTCCCGCTCCAGGTCCTTCTGAATTACTTTAACAATGGTGCAAGTCAGCTTTTCAGCACAGAGCCTTAAATTATATTGAGAGTCCTGAACTGCTACTTTTGCTTTATCGCAGTGGTTGCCTGTTCTGAGCGCTGTGGCTTTTTGTGCACTTGATGTTGCATATCCACTTTCAAGACAAGATGGCTTTACTTGCTTAGTAGCCATTCCCAGTTCAGATTCTAGTTTCTCTTCAACAAACAATTCCAGTCTGAGGAAGACATTATCAACTAAATATTTTGCTATGCCTTCGGGAGAAAAGTCTTTTATATCTGGAAGTTGCTTAGCGCTAAATTCCACCAGTTTTCTGCCAGATGATTTCTCAGCTTTTGATACGCCAGGGACTTGATGCTTACTTCTTTTGGGATCTGGAAAACGACTCTTGTGTCCAGCCTTGGATCCACATTCTTTCAACTGTGCCAGAGGCTCTACTGTCTTCTGCACAAAATCATAGAGGAGGGACTGGAGTTGAGATGAAAGTGCCCCCTTCATATTCATAGCAGCTGCAAGACCAGAACTCAGATCTTCAAACACAATATCCACCAAGTCGTTGGAAACCAGCGAAGCATCAGATTTCACCCCAGCTGGGTTGGACAATGATTTTTTTGTGCTGCCATCTGCAGCCTTGCGAAACTGTAATTCCCCCGTTCCAGAATTGTCCATATCTAACATTATCGTCTGAAAGATTTCATTTAAAAGGGTTTCCACTGTATTTTGGATTTGGGTCTGAAGATCTCTTTTATAGGTAGGGTTTTTCTTGAAAACCTTTTCCAATACGCTTTCTTTCCGTGGTAAAGAGGACTCTTCTTCAGAAATATGTTCTTGGGGGGCAAAAATAGTCAAAACCATGCTGACAATTTGGGTAGCAGCTATGCTTTCAGAGAATATAACTGGAGGAGTTGAAATTTTATCCACTTCCTTATCCAGCTCGTGCTTTAGATTTTTCAAAATCAACCTAGCCACATCACTGGCATATGATTTTAAATCTGAGAAAGACAATGATACTGTCTGTTCTGGTTTTTCTTTTGCAGCTAAAATAGAACTATTGTAAGAGTTAAAAATATCCTCTAAACAATTAGGCAAATTACCATGTTGATTGGCTAGAATTCTTTTGAATTCTTCTTGTAAAGCCGAGGAAAAGTCTGAACTAATTGACATTTTTAAGTTTTGCACATCCAAGCATAACTGAGATTCCACTTTGGATATGACAAAGGATTCCAGTTTTGCTATAAACATTTGCACTAAATCATTAGCCAGATCTGACTTAGATGGGTGTTCAGGCTGACTAATGTGCATTTTTCTGCTACTCTGCACTTCTTCCTGGGGAAATTCTGAGTCATTCTCGGGGTCCCTGAAATGCACTGTTGGTAGGCTTTTGCCAGATTCTCTTGACACACTTAGAGGAAGGATATCAGTGAAAACGAGGCTAGCTTGCCTGCTCTTGACATCTTGCATGTCGGTTTGAGCCATGCGGGAAAGAATTTGGAAAACAGATTTTACCAGATCATCTGTAAAAGCATGGATTTCTGCGTCCGAGATTAGAATCTGACCAAGTATTTCACTTTGTCCCTTGGAGGCAGGTTGCCCCTCTGCCTGTTGCCTGCTCATGTTCACTTGGGAAAGAGATGACGGAGAAACACTGGGGGGCCATGCTGTTTGCTCTGCCAAAACATGCTGGAATGTTTCCTTTAAAAGATTCTGCACTGTTTCAATGATTGGCAATTGTTCTTCCCCTTTAAAGTTGTCTTCCATTTGTTTCATGATCTGCTCTAAAGTCCACTCAGGAGCTGTTGTCCCTTGTCTTGCCTTTGACACTGGGTCAGCAGAAAGTGTAGCATTTTCTGGACTTTCCAAAGAACAAAAAATGGCATTTTGCACAAGAGTATCCAAGGTACTTTCTGTTTTCTGCAGATATTTTGATTGACCCGTCGTATCGTCGTCCAGAAATTCCCCATCATCCTGCAAAGCAGATTTGGAGTGAGACCTGCTTCTCTGTCGTGGTTCAAGACCAAAACCTTCATATTCAGGCTTTGGAACCTTGTTGGTTTTTAATTTCCCATCCTGATGCTGCTTGTCTTTTTCTTCCTGTTCAGCTTCAGCGTAAATTACCATGCCAGGAACATTAACAGGAGGAAATGGTTTTCTTACATTTTTCTCTGTTGTAAAAAGTGTTTTAATGGTCACCCCTCCAGCTGATGTTTCATAAGTTTTGTGGCTAGGAGGCTCAATTTGTATCTTGGGGCAAGAACTGGGTTTTGCTGATGGAGAGAGAATCCTCAGTTTTTCAGTACTTAGATCGTTGAATACATCGTTAATGATCTGGAGGATAACTGAGCTCTCTGTGGATGGAGTAACTTCTTCTTGGCTCACCTGACGCTGGATGTAGCATAGGATGTTGCCAATCATCTCTTCCACGTATTGAAGGATGTTTGTCTCTGAAGAAGCAACCGTTTTGGAAACTATCTTCCGAATTGTGTCTTTCACAATGGCATTCGCTGCTTCGGATTCTGCCGTGTGCGGTGGAACTGCGGCATACAGTTGTTCGAGCGGTATGCCAATTGCTTTGATTTTAGAAAAGAGTTCAAACTGGGACACTTTGGTTTGGCTCGACATAGCAAAGACCTTCAGTTTGTCGATAATAATCTGAACAATCTCCTCGGCAACGCCCAGCATAGACTCAAAGGAGAGGGGCATCTGAGCCCTCCAAAAAGTTGGATCCGGGTCAGTATATTTCTCACTGGCTGCCAGGCACATTGCTTTCCACTCCGTGGAGAAGTCATCTCTGGAAATGGTTTCAAAGTATTTCTTCTGAGTGGTGCAGTGGAGTTTACTGAGCACATTTTCAACAATATCATTGGCGACAAAACTGGCCACCCTTGAAACCGAACCAGCCACTGGCGGCTCGGCAGAATGGCTGCCTAGCAAGCTATCTGATATGGATTCAAGAAGGACTTCCATTGAAATAGAGACAGAACAAGCGGTACATCCCAGGTCACCTAGTATTTTTTTGAAAATGTCATCCAGAATCACTGCGGTGACTCTGGCGAGAGGCAACTTCAGGTCACTGAAAATACACTTAAGGTCCTTCACATCGATGGGCTCCCTTTGGTGAGCAGAACAGTCTGGTGGGTTCTGTTCCCCTCCAGTAGAGGGCAATTCTTCTGAATCAGTGGTCATTGTCGTTTCGGGTTTACAAAGGAGCCCTTTTGGCATTCTGTGCTTCTGTTTGCTGTGGTATAAAGTACTAACGTTTTCTGGATCATCTGTAGAACTTTTCTGCAACTGAGAGAGATGACTGTCTGATTTGGAACTCTTCATGCTCGGTGTGGTAGACAGAAGACCATGGTCTTTAGATGGAGAGAAAAAAACAGCTGTTTTTCCTCTCTTAAATTTTCCCTTAAGGATTTCACTATCTAGAGACAGGTGAGTGCTCTTGGTAAAAGAGGTAAAGGAAGACTTGGAGGAAAGCAAAGAGGTTGAGACTGGCTTCCCACTAGTAGAACGGAATTCACTCGGAGAGCTGGTGGTAGGTTTCATGCTTGTGTTAGTAAAGCTGACTTTCCTACTGGCAAAAGATGGGAGGCCCCCATAACTTTCACAAAGATCTTCATTGCAACTGGTGCAGCTGCTGGAATTCTCTGAAGATACTACAGACTCCTCAGAGATTGTGTACACCCGTGTCCTGACCCTCTCTTCAAATTTGGTGAGAGCGGGATAGAGGATACTTGTAACTGCTGACACTACCCATGTCATGATATTCTGGATGATTTTATTCAGTTCCGAAGAAGATACCTAATAAGAAGAGAAGAAGTATGATATAACAGGCAAAAGATCTGCACGTAACTCCAAATAAGCAGTTGGGGGAAGGATGAACATCTACCTCTTATTAATCGTGACCCCTCAAAGCCGCGCTCGACTAGGCCGCGCCCGATTAAACCGCCTCGCTGACGTCATCAACAGGGCGACATCAGCGAGCGCGGAGAAAGAAGG